CCGCCCCGCCCGCCATAGCGGCGGCTCCCGCAGCCCCGCGCCACACCCCGCATAGCGCCCCAGGGGCACTGATATCCCTCGCCGACCCCGCACGACAACCTCTGCGGGGTTCGTGACACCCCCGCACCCCTATAACCAACGTGGCACCCCACAAATCACTGCGACACCCCAAGCAGCACCCTTACACACCACCCACCCACACACCCACGGACTGCTCTAACTGGGGCAACACCTCCCAGACAGCACCCTTCTCAGTCACTGTCATACCCCACCTAACACCCTCCACGACCAGGGTCACGCACACAGCTCCCTCCGTAATTGCTGTGATACGTCCATGCATATAGCGTCCCCTGCAATCACCCACAGCCCTCTGTGCACAGGGCTCCTCCTTCAGATAACTGTCATTTCCTCACAAAGATCCCCTTCCCTCAGGCCAGAGACACTACCCTTTATAGTGTCTCTTACAGGCACCAACACAACCCCCCACCCCAAATGTTCATTTGGCGCAGGTATTTGCTGTGAATTTCAGTGACTTAGGGGAATCTGTGCTCCTCCTGATAAGCATTGTACTGGACTATGGAGCCAAGAAAATGGGTCAGAACACCTACCCCAAAGGAAAGCAGATAAATAATGGAGTGACAGGACAGTAATGAAGATTATGGATGTCATTTAAGGCATTTTTGGTAATAGGGGGTTTTCCTTTTTTGCAGAATTAAACTTCCTCTGTTCTGCCTGGGTTTCATGCTGCACATCTACAGCAGCCTCAGCCATTGTATTTCTGGGTCCCTGCTACAGCTCAACAATGGTTTTGATTTTAAAGGAGATGCAGAAGTTTCCCCTCACAACCATGAAGCATGTGGCCAGCATATCACAGTGTGTGACTTCTGTCTGTCCTGAAGACTTCCTGGGTGCCGGCTATTGGGTGTCTTATTACATCTCCCTCTGTAGGGAGATCAGCCATGGAGAAGTTCTCAGTGAGTTGACTTGCCATCTGGGCTGGGAACTCTGAATAGTACCCATATTTCCCAGCCTGCTGCCAAGAGAAAATCTGCAACCTTTAGATATAGCATCTATTTGTATTCAATCTGTAAAAATTCTGCATGCCTGAGATACCCAGACTGTCAAATTTAATTGTGGAAGTTTTTAGAAAATGTTGCCTACAGCTTTTATATCTTGCATTGTGAAACGTCTTATAAAGAAGGGGATCATGTACTTCTAAATCCCATCTATTTTCTGTCAAGCTGAATGAGTTTGTCTATGATAAGAATGCACCCGGCCTGATGACTCTATTCATCACTAGTAGATGGGTTTTTCTTCCTCTTCCTGTCATGACCAAGAACACTTTTGGGTACCATTTATAAGATGTCTTCAGAAGTCTTGATAAATGTTCATCAAAAGTATATGTGGATACATTCCTAGGGGGGAATGGCTGGGTGGACTGGAATTTGGAGTCCTGTGAATTTACATAGGACATCTTTCACCTCAATCCAGAACAGTATGACTAGTCAAAACCATCATATGTGATTTCATAATTAGTCGCTAGTGATTTTGGAATCCTGTTTTGGGGTGCCCAATTTGAGACACTTCAAAGAGCCTTATTTCCAAAAAAAAATTTTTTTAAATTGGGCCTGTTTAAGATGTCTTAAAATGGGTGCCCAAAAATGGAGGTCCTCAAAATCACGCTTGAAAACTAAGATCCAGACAGTTTTCCCAACATTCATCTGAAGCGTTGTTTGCATTCTTAGGACTGGATTTATTCTATTACAGTGTGTGCAGTTCATCATAGTCTCTTCTGTCCATGGAATTAAATTTAAGATTCTTTTGTATTAGTTTCAGGCAAAGGCTCAATAGCCAGTTTTACATTCTATCTAAACAAATGCCAGTGTCCAGTTCCTGTGAGATGATGTGCATTTGGACCAGGCTTGCTGAAGTATTCTCCTGTTTGTCCTTTTTCTTCAACAGATGCAGCTGACATCAGATCAAGAAGCCAGTGTTTCACACATGGAATTGCTGCATTCATTCAGTGTAAGATGATTCTTCTCTTGGCAATTAGCTGTGCTAGGGATACAGAGGATCTTATTTCTATACATTTCACATCCATTACGCTCTGTATGCATAACTCTGGAGTATTTGGTATCACAACACCCATTATTTGCAAGAGTCATTTAATTGCATGTAACCAATATTTTTGAACATTAACAAATTCTAGCTGTGCTGTGGCATCTGAGTTAAGAGTTTGGGGGCTGGATTTTCTGGTTCTCTAAGATCTCAAGCAACGTGAAGTGGTCGTAAACCAGCCAAAAATGCCCAAGGGACTTCTGCTGGCAGAGTGCTCTGCAGATTAACTCTGCCATCTCGTGAACTGACAACCCCTCGCCTTGTCTTAGGTAGGAGACATGCTGTGGGGAGGGGAGCAAAACTCAAACTGAGGATTCAGAACCTCTTCTCTTTAAAGCTCTAATTCAGCAAACACTTCAATTTGGGCTTAACTTTACTATTAACTTTGTTATATGTTTTACATTAGGAGTTACAGAGACTCTTCCAAGAGATTTCCAAGAAGTGGCTACATAGGCATCTCTCTGGGATAGTTTAGGAATAGCATCTGTGGAGATGGTTGAACCAAATGATCCTTGAGATCCTTTCCGACTAGGATTTTACTCAAGTGTTTGAGGTTAAACTTTGAAGTGCTTTGCTGGATCAGGGCCTTCATCCCAAGTAGCTGAGAAAATGCCTGCAAAGGTCTTCACCAGGTCTGTGAGTCTACAGGGTTTCTTCACAATTTGGTAGGCCACCTCTGATTTCTAGGAGCAGTTGTCTGATGGTGATGGCTTTTGTTTGATAGTGAAAGCTCTCTTGGGCCTTCTCTATATGAGAAAACTGTACTGAGGGTATGTTCATATGAATAATTTGCTACAGGCTAAAAGGGTGAGAGCTTCACCATGTCACCTGCTCTTTGGTAAATACCCATGTGTGTGAAGTGGGTACATCATAGTTTACCTTTTATCCACTGTAGGATAAGTGTACATATGAGCAATTATCGCAGAGCAGTTGATACATACAGGAAAGTTCTGTTCCCCTTTTCCTCCTGCAGTAAATCATATGTCCATATCCTTAGAAGTGTGATTTCAAACCAATTTAATTATACCAGGAAAAATGTTGTGTGGACATTTTATTCTGATTTTTCAGCTATAGAGGTCATTCTGTGTAAAACTGCATCAAACGTTTGGCTGCTTCACCTATAGTATCATTTTGGGTATAATTTGTATATCTTTTAATGATGGTATTTATATGTAGGGCTCTATGGGGCAGAGGCCCTAGATAAAATTTTCAGAAACAGGAACGTAAATGTTGGTAGGCTAAATATATATTTAGGCTCCTAAGTAAATGATGAGATTTTCCACAGTCGTAAGTGATGAGCAACTCCCACTGACTTCAGCTGGAGCTGCTGGGAGCTTGGCATTTTTGAAAATCAAGAATTTAGTTTAGAAGCCTAAACGTGAACTTAGGAGCCTGGCTTTAGGCTTCTATTCTGAATATCTTTGTTCATGACTTTTTTTTACAGGTTCAGCAAGGTGCCTCAGCACTCTGGGGCATGCAGTAAATAACAAATAGTATTCACCTGGCTGGTTAGCTTCAAATAATCTGCCAATATTCCAAGCCCAGGTGGTGAAAGGACTTTTGGAGAAAATAAAGGGAAAGGAAAAAATTCCCCAAAAGACAGTGAAACTGGAGTACAAGGATTTTGTATTCTTTCAATTATATTTTGGTTTACAAAAATCACATCTGGAGAGGGAGGTGAGGTTGGGAAAGGGAGAGAGGGACCAAAGTAAATGTACAGCTAGCAGAGGCTTTCACAAGGACTTCAAAGGTCAGTGATAAGTGGATGCCTCTTCCTCTTCCTCTTCATCTGCATCGTCTTCCCCTGTAGCTGTGTGGAATTCGTATAACACTGCACAAATGCCAGCCAGCCAGGCTGCAAGAGTGCCAGCAGAGAATATGCAGAAGCCAACTAGACCCAGGAAGATATAGTCCCACTGGTATAAGTGGGTGAGACATATGTAGTGGAGTTGTGTCTCCACATCAGGCACTGGCCAGCCACGTAGCTCTGATGGGCTGTAGCAGGAGATGTTCTCAGCATCTGCAGAAGAAACACAGGAGCAACACTCTCTTGTCTGTGCCTTGAGTAATAGTAAATAAGAGTCCAGAGGCAAATTAGAAAAATAAATAAGTTTTCTAAAGAGCTAGACTGAAAAAATAGAAAACCTTCTCTAAACTGGCAGAGACATCTCCCCCTGAACTTGCCAATAGGGATGCCAGTGACAGTCAGATCACCAGAATCATTTCCCAGGCCTTGCCTACATAGGAAAGTTTAACCAGTTACACCAATATAATTATATAGATACACCATTATAGCTCTCCTGCTATAGCTTCCTGAGTGGGTGCTCTTAGGGTATAGGTAAACTAAATAGTCACTGTGAGGTAAGGGACAAAGATTTGCTATACATCAGATGGTGTGAAATAATTGTTCTTAACCCCCAGGAAGTGGAAACTAAACTGTAGTAGCTTAAACCCCAATGCAGTAACTAGCATGTCCATCCATACCCACAGAAAGGTATGCTGATATTGGAATAAAAGAGTCAACCCTTAAGTTCGATGTACACTACAGATTTTTGCTGACACAACTACATTGGCTAGGGACTATGAAAGGATCACACCCACAGGTAAAACTAACTTTGCCGGCAAAATTCTCAATATGGATACAACTATGGCGCTTCAGCTAGCTTAGCTAATGTTGTTTGGAAAGACGGTGTTAACTGTGCTGGCAGAAAAGCTCTAGGTGCTGGTATATGCCTTATCTCTAGTTGGGAGCAGAGCTGACATAGCTATACTGGCATACTTATAGTATTAACACACAGGCAGGCAATTATTTTGGGAAGAGGGCTGCTTACTGAGTTTTGGCAAGCCATCGAGGGCCACATGACAGGCAGCCCAGGGCAGATAAATATTAATTTTCTACATTTTTTAGGGGCCCTGCGGGCTGGATAGAATGGCCTGGTGGGCTGCATCTGGCCCCCGGGTCACATTTTGCCCACCCCTGTATTAACAGCTCTTAGGTTATACCAGAATAAGTGACCCCTTAGCGGATGCCAGAATATCTTCCCCTGTAGATGCTTTATGGGTGATCATACACAGAAAACATGACTCAGTATTTAGCAGATTCCAAAGGCCTATTTTCTTAGACCAGCTCTTTCATAGCATAGGCGTCCCATACAAGTTTGTAAAAGGCAATGGCTCTTAGGGCCAATGCAAGATAGGAGGGGAATACTGCTAAATGATGGAGAAGGAAAGGGAGACAACCTTAACTTCTGAGAGAGAATTTCAGAATGGGAAGCAAGCAGGTAAGGTTAGCTCATCATCATATTCAGCTTGATTAAAATAGTACTGCTTTAGCTGTACTATTAATATATGCCATAAAAAAGCCAACTCCCGCTCTTCATTCAAGGACTGTTAAGTTTGGAAAGGAAAGTATTCTTTTCAAGTTTATCCATCATCCAGCACAATAGAGCTGCCATCCAAATGAGGGGTCTGACTTTATAGAAATAAAGCATAACAGGAGTATTTACTGCTAACATCAAGTCAGGTTTGTTGGGCTTCAGGGTATCAGATACTTGGTACTCAGGAAATGAGACAACTGGCTGATATACATTTTAGTCTCTGTCTGTGGCTCCATGATTTAACTAATGAACACCAGGCAAACTCTGGTCAAGGGAATTACTACTTTCCTATTGGACTTTTTCTTTATTCATTATCACAGTAGCATCTGAGCCTTAAAAATAGGTACAAATGCTTATTTTTTTCAATAGTGGCTGGAAAGACTTGGGGCCCATGTGCCTGAAGTACTGAACACAGGAAACATCTTTATCATCAGTTTTGAAAATGCTGGTATAAGCAAGCTGCCAGGCTTGAGGTAAGTCTGTAAATAGACAAGTAGCCTGATCTGCAAAGGGTTTTTTGTATTCGTCTGTAATGGCCAGGGACAGACACCAGTTCTCTCACATACCAAAGGAATGCATTAGCCTCACAATCCTACTTTTGCACCCAACGTTTTAAAATTGTGGCCCAGATCATTGTTATTTCACCTGTTTCTGCTGCATGTTCCACGCCTAGAATCAGAATCCCTTGGGACCCCCTGGGTCAAGAATGCTGAAACTTTGTTTGTATCAGGAAAAGAAAAAGCACTATTATGCAAATGTGTTAATAGATTCAAGTGACACTTTGTTAAACCCAGTTATGCCTTTGCTGTAGAAAAGGGTAATTAACATTAGCTGTTGATGGCTAATGGTAGGAAGACCTTGGGGGTAATTAGAGAAGTCAACACATTTTTAAACAAGACCATTCTATCTTATGTTAGCGTCTGTAACAAGGAGCCAGAGGCTTCTGTTACTTTAAGGTGGAGACTATAACATACAAGGTCTAAAGGCAGGAGCAGGCAGCAGCAGGCAGCTAGGGAGCTAAAGGGCTGCAAATAACTGCCTGGTAGCAGGCTGCAGAGGAATAGGACAGAGATCCAGGTAGTTAGAAGGGAAACAACTCCAGCTGAGCCAGGAGACCAACAGGAAGGTGCTCAGTAGGCCTAGGGAGCACACCTGTGGGCAGTCAGGGGAACGTGTGGCCAGTGAGAAGGAAGAGCTTAGGGAATATAGACCTGGGTCTCTGAGGCACAGGGTTTAGTACTGCTCTTTGAGTTTTATGACGTGAAGAGCTTCTTGTAGCCTAAGCTGCTAGGGAGCAAACACTGGAGGTACAGTGTGGGCTAGGAGAGACAAATAATGTGAGGGGAGGGGGTTTCTGCAGCTGTTTGATGACTCAAAGGGCCCTTGTAAGTTTCATTTGAAGCAGATTGCTGGTATTTTGGTTTTAGTTTATACAGAGGACTGGGTTGTGGTTCTAGGGGTGGATTGGAAGCCACCTAACAGAGTGCCTAGAACAGTAGGTGCCCAGCCTTGCTAAGGGGTAGGGGGAGTGAACTGTGTTAGGGCCAAGGCTTGACTACAAGCAAGATGCTGGCAGGCTGAGACCTCTGAAACTGGGCTGGAGCAAGCAGGCCTAGGTTAGAAGTTTGTAGCCCATTGGCTGCTCTGGCTAAGGCCAAGAGGGCTAGAGCCTATACAGGCTGGTGAAGCATAAGACATGAGCATAGGCATGGTAGAGGCTGGAAGCCACAATGCCCCTAAGGCAATTTAGTGTTTGAGGGACTGGTGCCAGCTGGGCATAAAGTGGTAGAGTGAACTCAGGCTTATTTCAGGGCCCTGGGGGCAGCCTCCCTAAAGACTGTAACTTCCATCAGTGTGTGACAAGTCAGGCAGAAAAAGGTGGGTACCCTGAGGCCCCCGAGATAGTGGCCTAGCTGTTCCTGTCCTAGGGGGTATCACAATCATCTTTTGAGGGCCAGATCCTGCTACATAAACACTCGTGAACTGATCCTGTTGCCTAACATGATGCATTTGCAACATGGGCAAGGATATGGTGAATTAAGTAACAGTGACTCTGGCTTCCAGAGGTATAGACAGTAGCTGCTATTTTCATGCATACTCCCTACCCTGAACCTGCAGAATTGGCACTGGGGGGTTGTGTCCCAGTTGCACCCTGTAACTATGCTATAGTGGTCTTCATGCAACTGTCCCTAATAACAAAAAGCTAGGCATGATAATAAGTGTACTCTTATTTTTGGATCTGGATTAAATTCTGGATGAGCTCAAGCATCCCCAAACTTGGGATATTTCAGTTTTTCAACTAGAACTTGGTCCCAGCTCTGCATACTTGCTGATGCTTAGTTATGATTATAAAAGGCATCAGTATGTTGTTTGTTTAGTTTTTGTTTTAAACCTAGGGATAGGTGGGTGTGAAACTGGGCACTCTGCTTTGTCCCTAGACTGCAGATAACCTCCATTCCCCTTTATTCAGTGGAATGGCTTCATACCATGAAATATCCATCTCATCTTTGCCATCTTGTCTGTCTGTGGCAGTGGCTAACATAAACAGGGAGCTTCTTATTTCCTTGCATACTAGAAAACAGGTGATCTTTGTCCAAGGCACTCAGCCCAGATACGTTTACATGCAGCATTAAAATTTAATTGCAGTGCTCGCGCAAGGCCTGGGGAATCACAAAGTCTCCTGTTTGTTTTACACACAATGTGTTGCTAGAAGGTAGCAAAGCCTGACAGAAGCAAATTAGAGCTGCCTTGGCTGGCTCGTAACCCTTCGGCCCTTTCTTTAAATGGCTCATTCACCCCATCTACCACCTAGGAGCAGCATTCATGATGCTAAAAGGGAAACTCCTTCCTCCATACTTTTACCAGAAGCTGCTGCTTCTCTTTCCCAGAATGTCTCCAATACACACATCCAATGCACACATGCAGTCTAGTTGGAGAGAGGGACTGACCGCAAGTTCTCAGAGCAGTAGCACGGGGATCTGAGCACTCAGTCAGTCATCATCTACAACCTTGTACAGTAATGCCCATGCTTTCTTTCACTCCTCCTCTGCCATCCATGATATTTTGTATACAAGTATTTTTCTTTACACAGTTCCATAGTTGTCTATAGCCCTATGTTCAAATAAAAAGTATTTTTTTTCTCCAAAAAAATTTACAGAAGACATAGCTGGGGTACTCAAATAACCTGTGTTTTGCCCTACGGGAATACCTGCCTTTGACTTCCTTTCTTTCCTTCTCCTCCTCCTCTTCCTTTGTTCACTGCAGGTTTTAGCCTAACTTTTTTTGCGCGAGTCATTTCTTGTTTGGTAGAGTCCTAAATACTGTGGATTATTTAGGATCAACCCTTTTATCTTTAGGCTTGGGGATGACTTTCAGGTATAGAAAATCCAGTGTACCTTTCAATCAGTTCTGAGATATACTGTTCTAAGAAATTAATTGGATCTGTTCTGCCCTGTTAATAATCAGCAGCTTCAACCCAACTATAGAATCCTCTGATGCAGAAAGAAAACAGCCAGATTTTGATATTCCTGCTGACATAAGAAAGAAATAATCTTCTGAAAGGCACAGTGATCCAGAACAGCTCTTAAGCAAGTGGTTTTGCATTTTTTTAGGTTAGTGGGACTTAAACACATGCTCATGTTTTTCTTGTTTGGGGGCTTTTTTGTAAATTATGTCAATTTGTGCTAGAATCCTTCCAAAAGAGAGAGAACCATACAGAACCTTACAATGTTAACTGCATGGAGAGCCTTCACATTGTTTTAGATGGTGCGTTTCTCTTCTCACTTAGGGCCTGATCCAAAGTCCACTGAAGTTAGTAAAAGAAAGTTCATTTAATCCTGTGAGCTTTTGATCAGGGCATTAATATTGTATATTATATAAAGTGTATCTGCTTTTAGCAATATAAGGAATAAGAGAGAAGGGCTGTGATAATGGTGGGTGTGCGTGAATGCAGGAATAGTGTGCACCTAGAGCACCAGCAGAGCAGCTCCTTGATGTTAAGGAAAATACTGCATTACCTATACTTCCCATGTAACAGAAATGATTCTAGGTGGAATCATAGCCCCACTGAAATTGGTAGCAAAACACTCATTGACTTCAATAAGGGCAAAATTTCATCCGCAGCATCCTGTCCCAATGAAGGTCCAAAAGGAAAAAAAATTGATTTGGTTTCAGCCACTTGTCTGTTTGTGCATAGAACAAATTTGTCATACAATGGCCCAAGTGAGTCTCTTTATTCAAAGAGAGACACCCAGATATGGAATAACACTGGCTCCTACAGGTTATGGTACAGCTACACTGGTAATACAGTGGGGAGCTTAGGGTTGGAGTGTGACAGGGTCAAGGCTGAGCTGTGTTGGAAAAGGTGTGAGAGGCACTAAGGCTACAATAATGGTCTATCATGCATTTTCACTGGGAGTTCTTAAAGATAAAACAATATAATGCCACCAGTCAAGAAACTATACTATAGGAGGTGACCTAGAAAAGTCAGGACATTCAGAGTAGTAGCTTTGCTTATGCAGAAAGTGCTGCCTGTGGCTAAGTGCAGCAGGATAGACATATGACACTGAACTTGATCACAGACCTCTACAAGTTTCAGTCACAATGGCCTCAACTGAAGCTAAAGGCAGAATTTTACCCAAGTCACCATCTGCTTGTTTCTTATCATTTAAAAATAGTTGTTGATGGTGTGTGTGTGTATGCGTGCACATATGTGTATACAGCAGTGTTTTTGCAGCATATGTACTCTTGTATGTGTTTGTGGGTTGTATATTGTGACACTCAAAAGGCCAGATCCACAGCTGATGTCTGTTCAGATAGCTCCATTAACTTCTATGGACTTATGCTAATTTACACCAACTAAGTATCTGGCCCAGAATGCACAAGAATAATAGTGACACAACAGAGAAAACAGAAAGCTCTGCTCACTTCCACCCAAACCTTAGGATGTGTGGGCTGAAAGATGTCTAAGCTCACAAAACCCTCACCTGGGAAATTAAGGCCGCTCTCTTTTATCCAGATACTGAATTCCAAGAAAGAGCAGCTACAGTTCCAAGGGTTTCCACTTAGACCCAGGGACTTCAGATTGGGCAGATCACTGACTGTGCTGGTATCCAAGAAAGTTAAGCCTGTTCTGCTCACATCCAGGTGCCTCAGCCAGCTGTTATTGGCAAAGGAATCCTTCTCAATCTCCACCAAATTTGGGTTGTCCGAGAGTTTCAGCACCACCAGGTTGGTGAGTTGAGAGAAACTGGTAAAAGTGACACGTGTGAGGTTGTTGGCGCTCAGGTCCAAGTACACAAGCTTGACGACACTGATGAAGGTGAAACCCAGGTCGTCCCCAATGTGGTTCTCCCTGCAGTCCAGGTAGACCAAGTCAGTTAGGAAGTTCAGCTCCACAGAGGGCAGATAGGAGATGTTGTTGGTAGCCAGAATTAGCTGTCTTGTGTCCAGTGGAATGGTCAGGGGGTACTCCTGCAGCTGCTTTCCTGTGCAGTTCACTTCCAGGTACTGACAAGTGCAGTTTGGTGGACAGCTCAGGACCTTGGATGCCAATACTATTCCAAAAAGAAACACCTGCCTCAGGGACCTGAGGCCATTAGAAGAGGACATGATATGATACCTCCGCTGCTGTGCTTCCTCTATGCTTTTTCAGCTCTTCAGAGAATGTTGCAATGAGAGGCTCCGAAGAGCTGCAAAGCAGAAGCCCTGTGCAAGCAATTTTTTCATCACAATAAAAACAGAAGAAGAGTTGAGCTGCAGGGCTGCTTGGAAGCTCTTTGTATCCCTCGCTCACGCAGCGCCCTGGCAGATTGCCTACTTGCAAGCTTAGACTGAACTCAGCCCCTTTCTACACTTGAAAGTAAAGAGGAGCTGCTTGAACATCTGCATGTCACACTGGTTGCCAGTTGACACCTTTGTGACGTCAGCAATTTGCAAAGGCACCCTGAGAGCGAGCTGTTCTAACCTATCCAGCCTTGCAGATGCCTGTGTGTGTGTGTGTGTGTGTGTGTGTACAAGTATGCACATCTTGTGTGCACAAAACTCTGTGCGTCTGTTTTAGAAAGGTATATTGCTCAATGGGAAGAGGTGCACATATATGCTGTGCCATGTGTAAAAGTATGTGTTCACATACTGATGGTACACAGTATACAGTGCTTATAGGCATTCATTTGCATTGATAGAACAAACAGATATAAGATGCTTTTGTGTTAGTATGTGGGTTAGTTTGGGTTCCTTTCATTAGCTAAACATACAATATGAAGGAGGCTTTCACATGCATTTTCATTTAGGGTGAAATTTTGAGAAATGGCTAGACTTTCTAACCTGACTTGTACTATAAATCCTTTATATTATGAGCCTTTAAGTATCAGTTTTTTTTCTTTAGGCAACCTACATTGTCATGTAGGCTATAAACACTGTGGAATTTGAACAGTGCCTACCATAATGGGGCCCAACCTGGCTGTGACCTTTAGATTGCAGTAGCTCTTTTATATGCATTCAGTGCACAAAGTAGACAGTGTTCACTTAATAAGCAGATATTCAGGATTTTGTTTTCTTTTCCTTGTTTAATATGTGGTCTTAAGCCTTATTTGCTGAACACTCTTAATGGATTATTAACTTCCTTGGATTTTTTTTCTACGGTGCTCATCATTACATAACATCTCGGTGCTTCACAGAAAATTAAATTTAGCTTCATAACACTGCTCTGAGGTGAGAGTCTGCTGTTATCCCAATTTAATAGTTAAGAAACTGAGGTACTAAGATTTAGGTCAAAATTATGAATTCTGAGAGCTAGGTTTGAGACACCAAGGCCCTGACTGTTTAGAACATGTAGCCTGACATACCATTTTATCTGGTCAAATCTGTTTGCAGCTGTGAATGTTTAGCCTGTCTGGTCTGTAAATTGGACTGCAGGATCTCAAACCAGGCATCCAGAAAACAAGGATTAGTGAGCAACAGATTTACTTGACTAGTTTAAGAGACTTGACTAGCACCACACAAAAAACTCTGTTGCAGAAGCAGGGGTAGAACCCTCTTTTCCAGGACAGCTTTGAACTTGCTTTAACCATGATGAGACCATTCTTTTTCTTGCTGCAACATCCCTCCTTATTCACTACACACCTTCTAATTTCTGTAACAAATGAAGCAGGGGTCCTCCAGACTGTTGTTTCATGTTATTTTATGCGTTACTGACATACAGCAGGGCTGGGCCAGCTGTAACCATTCTGTGAATGTCTTTAAGAAGTGGACACCAATGTGCATGGGACATTTTGTCCCTAATGACATGCAGAGGCTGTTGTAGGTAGATAAAATGTTGCTTTATCTGATGAATTATGTATCCATGTAGGTGTGCCTTTCCAGGCTAGCTCCTGTGGGCTAATGGACTGTCAATGTGGTGGACTGTGTAGATTGCTTCCTCTGTTGTTCTACTTCATTAAAATCTTTTTTTGCAAATGGATTTAGCAGACAAAAGTCATGGTTTCAAACAAGAAGGAGCATTATTAAACTCAAAAATATGAATCACCTAACAAGTCTATGATCAGACCAGTTGACTGCAAACAATATATTAAGTATTTTTTGAAACACCAAAACATACAAACCAAACTGAAGATAATAATAAACCTAACCAAATCAAGGCAGACCAAAGCGCAAAGCAAGCAATATAAACAAACTAACGTCACTTGAGGAAATCCCACAGGACAAGTGAAGAATGTGTATAGCATCAATGATCATATCTGCTTCCTACCCTCTTGTTTTCTTTTCCTCTCCTGCCTGTTCTTGCTTACAATGTACAGCATTGTACAGATAAAAGCATGGAGTGAGTGTAGGTTGCTTGTTCCTTCCAGGGCTGTTACCTTCACTTTCTGAAACTTGTAAGTAAGGATTTTGAGTGGAGAGGTTTGGGTGTGCCCAAGGACAAGACCCAGCACTATGGAGGGGCCTGGAGAGACTCTTCAGTCTGTGGGGGTTTACATCTATTCAGCACCCCTGTGCATAGGTTCTGCAGCAGGTCAAGATCTTTTTCCTCCGAAATGCATGTTCCTACCTCTCACTGCTCTGTTTGGTTGTATTTCCAATGCAGCTCTGTAAGGAGGAGGTGCTTATCTCCTTTCTGCCTGCTGGTTCAATGACTTGTGCTCAGGGTGGGAGCACGGTGGCTGGATCTCAGACCTGGAAGTGCCTGCAGTGGCAGAAACAGGCCACCCACTTTAGGATCTTTTGAAAATATCAAAATAATGGAATCTCACCATGTGTCATCCACTGTGCAGCCTTTTGGGTGTGTTGTCCTTACTCATTTCTGAGACCCATGGGCCAAGCGGAAATAGGGTTGATACAACTGCTGACATAGATGAGAGCGTAGCAGCCAGGCTTCCTTAGGAGCTGAGGCAGGCGTAGAAGACAACACAATGGAAGCGAAGTCAGAGGCTGCTGGTGTTCAGTTATATCCAGTTTTGGAGAGATGCTGAGAAGCTGTGTAAGGCAGAGAGCTTGATGAAACATTCCCGTCCATCCCAGTCCTAACTGCGCCTGAAGCTAGCTAGGGTACAGCAGAGGATTCTAGCTGGGTATATTTACAGCTACTCCAGCACCCTCAGCAAGGCAGATGGGAGTGTCAAAATAGACACCAAAAAAGCAATGACCAAAGCAATAAGCCAGAAGCAGATGTGAGCAACAACACAGTAAATGGTGGTGCAGCAATACAGCATAGAAAAGTGCACTCCAGCTACCTGCCTGGCGTCTGTGAGCATTGGTGTGACTCAGCATTTCTTGCATTTTAAATTATTGTTTTTTATTGCTGATGCCATATATATTTTGCAACAAGGGTAAATTAATTACTTCAGCTGCCTTAAATCTATGTTAAAGATATTTTTGTGGGAATGTGAAATATGAACAGATTTTTAAAAAGAAAAACCTTTCTGGATGGTTATGTGTTCCTGTATCTGTAGAGGTGTGTCCTAAATTGTACCTCGCACTCCCAAGCTGCCCTCTAGCACTCCTTTGCTGGTGGGATAGGTTTGTGGAACCTGTGTCTTATCTGTGCAATCTTGTCCGTGTCTTATGTCAGTGGGTATGATGAATAAGAGCTTCCTATTTCCTTCCCAGATGGAAGAGAGGTTATCTTGGTCCAGGACACTAAGCTTGGGTATGTTTACACATAACATTAAAATTTAAATACAGTTCTCACTCCAGACCCAGAGAAACACAAAACCTCCTGTCTGCTTCACACATATGTTGCTGGACTAACAAAGCCTAACAAAGAAGAGAGAGTGACCTTAGCTGTTCTATAAACCCTTTTGACTCATTCTGCTGTGAGCAACAGCCATCTGGATAGGCAGGCTCCCCTTCCTAGTTCTAACAGGGTACATCTGCATGAGACATAGTGGACTAATTGGCTGCACAGTAAACTTTTTGGCATCTACCTGTGTGCCCCTATTTGGCTGGAGTAAATTAATTTACTCTGCAGCAGGATAGTACTTGTAAAAAACCCTCTACAGTAGCTCATGTGTAGATGCTGGAGGGGCTGGCTGGGACATGAGGGTGCTTTGCTGTGGGGCTGCCTGCTGGCTAGCCCTGCACTGAAGCACCCTTTTGCCCCACCCAGTCCCTCTGTAGCATGCTGAGCTGGGGGAAAACAGTTCCAGGCTGGCAGGCTGACCACTAGGGCCCCCTGCCAGTCAGGGTTCCTCCACCCTGGCTCAACATGCTGCAATCTCAAGTGAATGTGCAGATATGTGCCTGGCAGCAAGAAGCTCCAGAGAGTATTACTGTGCATTAATAGGCACATGTAGATGCACCCACAGAGGCTGCTGCTTCTCCTCTGCTTCCAACTGAAAATGCCTCCAAAAAACAATAATATCTGTGATTTGAGTATGGGGCATTGACTTCTCTCCTCAACCAAAAATACAGGTTGTTTTTTTTATTAAGTACAAATAACCAAAGCATCTAGGTTCTATAGCTGTAGGGAGGAATACGAGCCCTATTGACTCAGTAATCTGTTGTAACCTTATCTTTTTTGGTTCCTGTACTAATATTTATGGTTTCTTCCACACCCAGGCTTTGCTTCCTAATTTCAGTGTGATTATAACAACTATACACAGCTTCATAGTTGTGCCTAGCTCTTACATGTAAATAAAGCAACAACCTGCTGCCCCGTGCGTGTGTGTGTGAGAGAGAGAAAGATTTGTATATTGCCTGTGTGCATGTGTTAGTTTTGTTTCTTTTTCTTTGGTAAATAAGACTAGACAAAGGAGGGTCTCATCATTTCATTCAGGATACATTTGTTGTAAGCATCAAAATGACTTAAGAGCCCCAGTTCTTTCTTGTAAAGCACAAAAAAATGAGGGTGAAAAACAATTTGAACCAACGATCAATGGAAATGGTGGATACTCCACCTTTTGGAGTCTATAAATCTAGACAAGATGCCTTGCTAGGAGACATTCATTGGACCTAGAGAAGAGGGAAACTGGATGAGGTACGGTAGGAGGAGTGAGATTGGATGAAAAGGCCAGAAACTGAAATTGTAACTAGGAGCTAGCATGGGGAGGGGAGAAACAGACCGCACAAGTTGCTGAAAGGGGTGAATTTAGGAGTGTTTAGTCAGGGAAATTTGGCTTGCGATGAGAAGCCTGAGGAGTGAAGATGGGGACAAGGAGTCAGGGCTGGGGAAGAAACAAAACTTAGGAGCAGGTTGGTTCTGGTAGAAGGTATCAAGACGGGAGATAATGGGCAGAAGAATCTGTGCCTCCCTTCCTCCTACATCTGGGATGGTACCCCAGACTCCTGGGTCTCAGTATTCCCCCATAGTCCATAAACATCCATGAAGCCCCCTGGCAAAGTGGCCTATTCCTGTGTAGTCCTATTCATACTCTGAGTAACTCCATAAACTCAAGTGACAGAGATCTGCACTGTGGATCCAAAATTTCAGTCTGCCAGTGCAGCATGTGAACATAAATATGATGCAACTTGTTAGAATTTCTGTGTTTGTTCCTTTTCTTTTTAAAAGAAATCTTGGAAAGTGCATAAAAAATACTGTACTACAAGGTATCCAGGTTGTAGTCATATTGGTCTAGAGGCAAAAGCAATCAGGACTTGTGGTAGAGGTGATCTCTTTTATTAGACCAACTAGATTTTTACAAATTGAATTAAAATTTTAAATTAAAGAAATGTGCAAAAATCTAGTTGGTCTAATAAAAGAGATTACCTCTGCCACTGTACTACAAGAACACTATTCAGATTTCAGAGTCAAATACTGTATTTTCTTGCATACACATGCCCTGGAATAAGATGCACACCATGTTTTGGAAGGCAGAATGAAGAAAAAACAGATCTTTCCTTGTAGTAAGTAACTGAGCAGCAGCAGCTAGGGAACTGAGCCTACTAATTTTTTTGCTCTCTGTGGATCACTTGCAGGTTTTACTTTCACTTTTGTCTGTATAGGTGATGCATAGGGGCAGCACGTGGGGGGGCGGTATATGCTCCCCCGATGGTTGGCTGCTGTCGACGCTGCTGCTGGCATCTACAGGTGGTTGCTGCTTGCTACTTCCCTCCGCCCCATGGGCACCTGTGAGTGGTCCCTGCTTGGCCCACCCTCGCTGCCGACATCACCGCGGCTGCCTGTGGGCAATCCCTGATTGCTACCACCATGCCCCCGCTGCTGCCGCCTGCGGGTGGTCACTGTGCCCCCCCAGCCTCAGGAGGCATGAGTTGTTTATGTTTGTGTGGTAGAAACTTTAAGCAGCAGAAACGGTTGTTACCATTTTTCCTCACTTATAATGTTTTTTTGGGGAAAAGGTGCATGTGGTATGCAAAAAAATATGGTACTTAAAAGAGAGGAAATAGCAGAATGAAGGTTTTCCCCTTTGCATATACATTATTACACTGTCTTTAATACATGATCCCATACAACAGAGAAACAGCTTCTCAGTAGCTAGGGATCATACCTTGTGCAGGCCATGTAAGCAAGGGCCCCATGTGACGTGGGTCACAGTAGTGCAAGCCAAGGGTACTCTGGGCTGTCACTGTGTGAGTGCTCTTCCCCCAGCCCTAGCTGCACTACGTGTGAACAGGGCCCCCTATAATGCTCCAACATGTGGAGGCCACTCCCACTGTTCCACTGTGTGTATGTGTGTGTGTGTGTGTGCGTGCGTGCGTGCGTGCGCGCAATCCCTGCTGAACTCAGTGTGCAGGCTCCCCTGCTGCACCATGCCGCAGGCTCCTCCAGTACCATGGACTTTGCCATGTTGGGCCATGCTATGTTGACCCCTGGGGCAGGTGCAGGAAGCCAAAGTCAGAAGGAAAGCCTAGAGAACCCACCTGCTGCTGCAACTGGAGCAATAGGGGGAGCAACAGAGTAACCCCTCACAGGCTGGATAAAACCCAAAGGCTGCCAGTTGGACAGCCCTGCCTTATTATTTTCACAGGATTTCAAGCCTAGGCAACTCACTTGAGAAACCCTCTTGCACCTGACTGGCACCAGCCCTTGGAGAGACAGGAAGTAACTCCCAGAATAGATTCGGCTCTTGACAACAGATTGATAACTTTATCTAAGCCAGGCAAGTCCTCAGCCCTTATAAGGAGAAAATGCCAAGAGGATATTCTTAAGGGAAGTTGAATTCACCGGGAATAAATGTCCCCAAAACCTAAATATGCACCTTATTGCTCTCTGACCTGATTTATTGCTCAAGTAGTATGTCGCCAGACCACTGTTTTGTGCAGAGCGCGAGCCAACCCCTTGCTTCATTCACTGATGCTTGTGTGTTCAGTGAGCTCGATAGAGGGCTGGGATCTGAGTCCTGTTGCTTGCAAATTGATCTGTTGAGTCTCTAGCTGATTATACCTACTCTTTAGATCAAACCTCTCTATTACTCTCCTTGTTCAGTCCAACCATTTGTCTTCTGTCTCTTTCAACATCCAAACCACATTTCCCAAAGTACAACCACTTGTTTTCCACCCTGTCTCTTGGGGCCAGTTCCTGGTCTAGCATCTCCTATATGACTGCCAGTCAATGTCTCCTTTTGTTTTTGGAGGAAAAGCTGCTGCTTACAATGAAGTTTAAGTTAACAGGAAATCTACCTGAAGTCTTTGTTTAGGAGTGCCACTTCTCCCCAGCAGAAATCTGTTGGCCAGCCTCCTGTGGCTGTGCTGGCAGTGCTGAGAGGACCTCTGGAAGGTGGCGACTTTTAATTTCTAGCTGATTACAGTTCTTGAGAACCATTCTGTGCCATTCACAGGGTCACTATGGGAAAGGCCAAAAGACTAATATGAAGAGGGTTTCCACAAAGATGAATCAGTCCTGTCCTCTCCATTGCCCATTTCCCCTTTCTTTTTTTCTTTTTCCCTCTCTGTCTCCTCTTTCCTGTCCTGTCCTGATCTGACCTGACCTACCTTTTCCATTCCTTTCATGATCTATCCTTCTCTGACCTTCCCTCCTCTCTTTTCTCTGTGGTAAGGAGATTAGGAAAATAGGCCAGCCAACAAGAACCTTTACTGCAGAAAATGCCATGTCTGGGGAGACAGGGGCATTGTATGGGGAAAGGGTCTCTGTAAGGGAGAGCACAGAAGGAATTCTCACCTGTAGGAGCTAGAGAAAATGTGGGAAATAGAAGTACAATTGAGTAGAGAAGCACTGCAAGTCCAGCATTTGAAAGGAAAAGCCAGCAAAGCCTGTTAGCATTATCCATGCCTATATAAATGGAAGTAATAAAAGAACCTTGTGTAACCTAGTACCTGTTGCTAGGAAGATGGTGACATGCAGAGAATGTTACTGGAGGAGATGATTCTGTTGTTGATTGTGACCCATCCCAGGAGATGAAGCTGTCATGTGCGCATCACAAGAGGGAGCATAGTTGAATCATGGTCATTGCTGGTTAAGTTCTAGTTGCCTTTGTTTATAGTTGCAAATGATCTCTTATTGAAATATCTGACTGTGCCACAGCACAATGTGCAGTAAATTTCAGTCATGAATTTACTGGAAAGAAGAAAATCAAGTGCAACTTCCACAATTGGAAAAGTAGCAGCTCACATCCCTGATCTGATTGTGTATGGTGATTTCTCCCAGGATGTGCCCTTCATTGAGAATTTTGATGGAGTACTGCTGTTTGCAGACATATCAGGTGGGTAGATTTGGTGCCACCAGTAGATTTTCAAAAGAAGTCAAGAGAATTAGGTGCCTGGTTCCGTCTGAATGGGATTTATGTGCCTGAGTCCTTTATTATGCATTTTAGAAAATACCACCCTTAATACATGAAGCTATTAGAAGAGAGGTTTTCTACCATGAAGCTTTACCTTGGGAAACTGGGGATTAAGTGGAGCTGAGATCACAGCTGAAATGGCCTCATCCTTACTGCTACACTTCAGAATGTTTTGTAGAAATGGTTTTCTTCATGTTCAGAAGAACTTGAAGTGAACCAGAAGAGCTTGAAGTGGGAGTAGCAGAGAATGCTGTGCAGGTCAGGAATAAGGAGCTTAGGTGAGATATTCTGGGTTCAAGCAGTGAGTTCTTGGAAGACAGGATTGAGACCTTGAATATGACTGGCTGTCTATAAGAGGGGAATGCTTGAATGTGTCTGTGGCTGCTTGCATGCTGAGGAGATACATAGCTGTATTTTTAGTTGTTTCCCCGAGAATGGTTGCCTTTGTGCCTTGCTATATTGCACTAGTGTGGTTCAATGGAGAGGTGTGTAAAGGTATATAGCAGAGGTAGATCATTATCCCCTTTGACAGGATGGACTCTCCCAGTTGGCTGGAGATAGTGGTAACATTCTCTGCTATGTGAGAGCTTCACATCATCCAGTATTCTTAAATGAATGGATTAAACTGACCAGTGGTGGGCACATACTTTCAACCAATGAAGACTGAAGGGTCATTGCAAAGTCCTCTGCTCATTAGTATCACCTCTGTCTTGCTTGGGTTCAGAAGTAATCAACTATTCTTCATCCATGAGCTAATTTTGCCCAAGTAATGGGCCATCTTGGTTGTAGTGATATGGTATTTTGTGGTGAAGGAGAAGCAGAACTATGTGTCATCTGCATATTGTTGACACCTTCAGTGCATGTCACCAGATCAGTTCCTCTGATAGCTGTTTGTTGAATAGGACCAGAGAGAGAATTGATCTCATTGGAACTGTGCAGGTAAGGATTTTAGAGCATTCCCCTGGATGTCTGCCCCCTCTTTCAGGAGGCATTCATCATCTTGTAGCCAGCCTCCCTGAATGGAATGGAAAAAGGATCAGAACTGGAAATCAGGGAGGTTTCAAAAGGAGAAGCAAAAAGCACTGAAAGAAGTGAGGGACATAAAAGTAGGGAGCATTGGAAGTCAAGATGGGGTGAGCAGTGCAGCAAGAGTAGTAACAGGAGCAAGCAAGCAAGCATTACAGTGACGATTGACTTAAACTGAATGATTGAGTGTAAGGTATGCAGGCCTGGAAAGCAAGGCCAGGTACTGTACAATAGGCCTGAGGATTGTTTGACCAATGCTATACACTCCTCTTTTTTTCTCAGACACAGCATTTGTCATTAGTGAGTGAAGGGACAATGTATGATGGAAATACCAGGGGTCTGCTGCCATTTCTTTGGCCCATTCAGATGTTGCCTGACTGCTTTGTGTGTGTGCATGCCCATGTTACAGGTTTCACTGCCCTGACAGAGAAATTTAGCATGGATACCAGCATGGAACATGGTGCTGACCAGCTAACACAGACTCTCAATCATTATGTAGGTGACATTGTGGAGGGTAAGTATCATACTTCATGATCCTTTGCTCTGCACACTTTCTTGGGTCAGGTCTGGGGTACTGAAGCACTGAAAGTGTTCTGTTAAACCAGTGATCACCAACCAGTGGATCTTGGAGCCTCTTGGACTCAATCCGAGGCTGGGATGGGGGGCTGAGTGCCCATGTGCAGCCCAGCAGCTCAGTCCATGGGGGGAAGGAAGAGGAGGGGGCTAGATCAAGGCCTCTTCAGTAAGGGGCAATGCCACAGAGGCGGGAGCAGGGGTAAATTGAGTGGGACCCTGGCTGGGTGGGACTTACCTGCTGGGGAGGTGTGCCACAAATAATTTTTTCTCCCTCTGCCTTGACCTGCCCCCACCTTTCCTCTCCACAGACTTGCCTGCTGGGGGAGGGAGGGATGGCAGCAATGGCGCACAGTAGATCTTGGGTTGCTTTTAAATGCCAAAGGTGATCGCCTACGTAAAAAGGTTGGAGACCACCGTGTTAAACAGTCACATTCTTCTTTTGTTTGAGGATGGAGACCTTCTGTGTCAACTAAGGGAATGGTGAGCATTCTCAAAGGGCAGCTGCAAATCTTCTGGCAGATTGGGAGTGCTACCTTAAATTGCCAATTGTTCAAATCAAGAGCGAGACCTTATAAAGGGGGATAAGGCAAAATGCCGCGTTTATTGATTACATGAAGCAGATACATAAACTTGGACACACCAGTCATACAAACAGAATCAAGCATACATACATACAAACAAACATATACAAGCATACAGACAAAACCACTCCAGTAAGATGTTATAGTTACCACCAGAAGTTACTCAATGTTAGCACTGGATGGCCAGTCCAGGCTCATTCAGTGTGATGAGCTGGGGGTGAACAGATACACTTGTGCTCGAGGAGGTTGCAGAGAGTGGATTCCCCATCTTGGCTTGTCTGCATCTCACCTTTATAGGGATTTCAAGTCTTCATTCAGCATTGGGGTTTTTCCATGCTCAGTTTTTAATTAGAGGTGGTTTATTCTGGTTATCTAAATTTGAGGTCATTCCAGTAAAGTTGGTATCTCCGAGTTGAGGTCATTCATGGGTTCATCAGAGGCAGGTCCTGTCAGACCAACCTGGTGGCTTTCTATGACCAGGTCACAAAATCCTTGGATGCAGGTGTCATGGTGGACTTAGTCTTCCTGGACTTTAGGAAGGCCTTTGACACTGTCTCTCACCCCATTCTGATTTTAAAATTAGGCGACTGTGTTGTCAATGCCTACACAGTCAGATGGGTCGCAAATTGGCTGGAGGGCCACACCCAGAAGGGAGTGGTGGTGGATGGGTCATTTTCAACCTGGAGAGATGTGGGCAGTGCGGTCCCCCAGGGCTTGGTCCTCGGGCCCACGCTGTTCAACATCTTCATCAGTGACTTGGATGAGGGGGTGAAAAGCAACTTGTTCAAATTTGTGGATGATGCTAAGATGTGGGGAGAAATGGGCATGTTAGAGGAGAGGGACAGGCTACATCTAGATCTGGACAGGTTACAGGGGTGGGCGGATGAGAACAGGTTGGGATTCAAACTGACAAGTGCAAGGTACTGCACCTGGGGAGGAAGAACCAGCAGCATACCTACAGACTGGGGAAATCCCTTCTCGTCAGCACAGAGGCAGAAAAGGATCTTGGAGTCACTATTGATTACAAGATGAACATGGGCCACCAATGTGGGGATGTGGTCAGGAAGGCTAACTGCACCTTGTCATGCATCCACAGATACATCACGAGCAGGTCCAAGGAGGTGATCTGCTCCCTCTATGCGACACTGGTCAGGCTGCAGTCAGAGTACTGCGTCCAGTTCTGGGCGCCACACTTCAAGAGGGATGTGGACAGCATGGAGAGGGTCCAGAAGAGGGCCACTTGCATGATCAAGGGGCAGCAGGGCAGGCCCTGAGGAGAGGCTATGGGACCTGAACCTGTTCAGCCTCCACAAGAGAAGGCTGAGAGGGGATCTGGTGGCCATCTATAAACTGGTCAAGGGAGATCAGCAGGCACTGGGAGAGTCCCTGTTTTCCCAAGCGCTACTGGGGGTAACAAGGAACAACGGCCATAAGTTGACTGAGAGTAGATTCAGGCTAGACATCAGGAAGCACTACTTCACAGTCAGGGTGGCTAGGGTCTGGAACCAACTTCCAAGGGAAGTGGTGCTTGCTCCTACCTTGGGGTTCTTCAAAAGGAGGCTAGACAATCACCTAGCTGGGATCATTTGACCCCAGCATCCTTTCCTGCCCATGGCAGGTGGTTGGACTTGATGACCTGCTCAGGTCCCTCTCAATCCTACCAACTATGAAACTATTCCATTAAAGTCGGTATCTCTGCCTTGAAGCATTGTGTAGTTCAAATGGCAGGATATGCAAAATTCCTTCTTCTCACTATCTTCTTTGCACATGATCACAGACGAGTTCTTCCGCCATCCGTTAATTAGCGTAATTAGGTTACTGTCTGGTAACTCGTACGTTGGCACCTTGTTGCTTACACAGTCAGGTAAATCTTTGTCTGTTTTCATGCAAATAGTTACTATTCTTTCACCATTCACCCTCTCACACAGACACTCATGTACACAGGGCATACAAAGTTAATTTACTCATGTCAAGCAGGGAACAAGCACAAAATGGAGTTTTAGTTGTTCATAAAATTGTTCATAAAAGACAAAAAATAAAGCTAATACAATCATAGAGGTTTATCAATTCAATAATATTATCGTCATAACTAATATGCAAAAAATCATACTACAGGAGGACTGTGTGGAACTAGTCATTGCTGTTCCTGGCTGGGATGGAGAAATGTCCAGCTTTGAAGAAGCCACAGTCCTTGTGGATCTCTCCTTGGCTAGGGACAGACATTATACATAAACTGGTTTAAGTGATAAGAAACTGGCTTAAACCTGTAGCAGAACAGATGTTCAGTGCACATAAATCAGTTTGGAAATGGCTGAACCCGGTTTGAGATAATCCTGGTTGAATGTAGCAACAGACTTAACTGATTTGGGTCAAACTGATTTATTCAATGTCTGCCCCAGACCGCTTGCTGGTTTAAGATAAATCAGACTATCCCAGCATGCTCTCTGGGCTGGGCAGGGCAGGGAACTCTGCTCCACAGCAGGGCTGGCCCCTCCCCTCTGCTCCGTGGCTGTAGCTCTGGCAGAGACTTGCAGGCTGCTTTCCCGCTACACCCCCCTCCCCCCAGCACTCTGTGCTAAGCAGGAATTTCCCCTCCCCTCTGCCTTGTTGAGGTGTCTGTGTATTAGCTAGCAGACCACATACTGTCTACGGTCTGTGCTGTGACAAAGGCAGAATCAACATGTAGCTGGTAATGTCCCTCAGTTGTTTTCTTAATGGGGTGATAAACACTGAGTTGGGAGTGATAAACACTGTTATCAGTTCCCTGCTGGGAGCATCCTGAGGGACAGGGGTCTGTCCATACCCCCCCACCCCCAGCTCAGTACTATAGAAGGGAAGGGAGGGCTGCTCTAGTGCCCCCCAGCTTCTAGCTTGAGACACTGCAGACATATGCCTGCATGTCTGAGATGTCTTATCAGTTACAAAGTGATTTAGCCTAGTCAGGTTAGACTAACCTACAAAGATTGAATCAATTCAGGCTCAGGCTTTTTGAATGTCTGTCCTTAGCCCTTATGTACTTCTCAGCCTCATTTCACTGTAAAGCCGACATCTCACTGTTCTTAGCACCAAGAAATGGGCTACCCTTTGACACCAGAATGCTGGTGATTTGGAATGGTGCTCTGACAAAAGTTATCAGTCCAACATGGAAAGTGCTGCTCCCATCCAAGGGCACACATTCATTTTTATCTTAGATACTTGTGGTCTTCATTACTACAGAATCCTCAAAGCCCTGCTGTGAAGCAGGGGTGAGCTAGTCTTCATTTGATGGATGGGGACCTAAGAAACAAAGTGACTTGCCCAAGATGACAGGCATAGTTGTAGTAGAATAGGGATTTGATCCAGAATCAACAGAGCCCTAGGCTGGTGTCCAAACCACCAGGCTACCCTTACTTTATCCTGTTAGTACTTTTGAACATTTGTTTCAGAACTGTCCTTGGAGGCATGCTCTTAAACTGTGCTCCATGGACATTTCTGTTGGTCTTCAGAGAAATGCGTAGTACAGGATTTGAAAAGTAGGGAGAAGAAGCAAGTCTAAGGATGGCATTTTCCTCGTTCTTATGGGAAATGCTGCACACTGCTCAAATGGTGAGTTTGGAGAAAGAATTTAACTGCTTGGTTTTTGTTCCTGAGCCATCAGCATCTAGGAGTTTTGTAGAGAAGACATGATCCAATGTATATCTTTCTGTCCACTCAAGAGATGTCTGCACTTCATGAAAACTCAAAACTAGTTTTAGCTTTGCTAGTTTGAGTACTATTAGTACTATACCCAGGGTAGCATGGAGCTCAGGATGGGATGTAAAACCTGCCCAAGAAATAGCATAGCTGCTCTGTCAGCTAGCTCACTCTAAGCACTATGGTGCTGTGGCTACATTTCTGTTGGTAACCCAGCTAGCTGGTTTAAAGTTTAATTATGTCTACAGTGAACCACAGTGAGAGCTGTACTCCCTCAAAAATATGATCCCAATGCCTGCATGCATGCGCACACCCATGTACAGTGCTCTTCTCCCCTCCCTAAGACCACCATTTTTTTCTTTATTTTTTTTTTTTACAAAGGTCTACATGTAATTTTTTTTCTTTTTCTCTTGCTTTCAGAAGTGCTGATACATGGAGGGGATATCTTGAACTTTGCAGGTACTTGTGAGTCTGTAGTCTATAATGGGGAAGCCCTGGGTTGGAGAAAAGTAGCTTGCTCTCCTGTTTGATTTACAAGGCACTGGGGCCTGTTAGTCTAGCCTCTTGGCCAGGCAAGTCCTGGGTAATCAAGTCTCTTCCTCTGTTCATTTATACTCCTGATTCCAACAGGGTTTGCTTATGATTAGGTCACTACAAAAACTCATGCTATATCCTCCAGTGAGAAAAAAGTCCTGGTTCTCTTTCCTTTGTGTCTGGCTGAGGAGCCCTAGTTGGCACTTCCTTTTGGATGGAGTGGTTGTGGTATCAGACACCTATAGAAGGTGAAAACAGGGTTGCCGTAGTTACCAGAAATCAGTCAGAAGTGTGTATAGGAGTGTGTGGAAGGAACATGGAGCATGCTACTGCAGGGAGGGGGGCGGGGGGAGAGGAGAGGTGGGAGAGGGGGAGTCATTGAAAGAAACAGGGAGGATGCAGTTAGTGGCTGCCTTTAAAGGATTACTAAGAAAAAGGGTTTACTTGTAAGAAGCAGCTGTAAGGAGTTGCTGAGGGGAAAAGGGCAGTCTTAACACCTGTGAGGCCATGGTCTGCTCACAGTCAGAAGCAGTGAAGGGGTAGGGTATCTGTGGCCAGCACTTACAGAAATGCCTTGCTGTTCTGTGGTAGCACATAAAAAAGCTGAATGGATTTGTTAATGCTTTTGAAACAAAGAGAAAAGACCATCCCTAAGTTTCAATCTCTGTCATACTGCCTTCCTAGGGGATGCATTGCTGGCACTGTGGAGGGTGGAACGAACCCATCTGAGTCATATCATCACGTTGGCACTGCAGTGTAGTCTGAGTATCCAGGAGGCGTATGGGGTTCGTGAGACAGAAGTGGGCCAGGAGCTCCGAGTGAAGATAGGTACTGTGATTGCTAGTGGAGTAATGGTACTTTGCATAGTTACAGTAAATAGAGGCATGGGGAAATACACATGGTCACCCAGTGAGTAAACACTTTTCAATCCCAAGATGTGCCAATGAGAAGTAGTGCCCAGTCTTTTCTTTCTTTAGCAGGCCATGAGTTGGTGGAGAATGTGAACAGTTCACTGCTCTGACCTTGCATCCTTTTTTGGCAGAATCTCATGATAAAGTTGCTTCTGCAACTGAGGAAAATGTAATTTCCATCAGAGAAGAGAGCATTTCTGTGACTTGAATACAGAGTATTTCACCTTTAAGTTGATGACTATGAAATGTTCCCTTATGATGGCTGCTTGGTGACTTTTGAAAAATGTGCTGCTGATATCACTTGCATTCCCAGCAGACAGATGTCTCTAATACATTAACCATCACTGGATTCATTAACAGCCTCTTTAGAGAGGCCAAGGTCTGAATTGACTGAATTGGGTTTTGAACTATTGAAACACATTAGCAAGGAAGGTTGAAGGAGGCTGGATTGCAGCTATATATCCTGGGTATAAGTACCTACATTTTCCATGATGCCAGTTTTACTTCATTCATCAAGCTAACTGTACCACTGTCTCCTGACTAGGACTGCTGGAGGAAAAAAATATTCAGAAGTGTTTTTTGATGGAAGATTGAGTTTTTGATTAATTTTTTTTGTGTGCTAAATGTCTGCTTTCCATGAAAATTTGAATTAAACCAAGGTACCAAAAACAAAGCAGCCAAAAATAGAAATATTTAAATTTAGAAATGCTGCTGCCTGTGCTTCATGGGAACTGTAGCCTGACTATTGCATGTCTCCATTTTCTTCTACAGTGTAGGTTCCCTTGTCAGGCCTGATCTCCCTAAAGTAGTGGTTCTTGACCTCTTTAGCCTCAAAGCACTCATCTGGAAATGTTCAGAAGTTAGTGGCGCCACATTTAAAAAAATAATATATAGTGTGAATATTACTATATAAATACTCCATTAATTAATGTACTGTTAATTACATGTCATAGTATATATAATCCTAGATCACAGTATAATATAAAATGTAATTCAGTATAACATTCACTTGTTCAGGCTGCTTCCCTGACTCCCCTGTTTCCTCCCAGTGAGGTACTTGGGCTCCTTACACGTGGACCCAGGTGATATGGGTCTGGCCTTGGTTATCCCAGGATGATCCCCCAATAACTGTAGCCCTGGGGCCAAACAGGCAGAGTCCAGGAACACTCAGCCAGCAGGGTCAAGGTGCTGTGCTGCACATGTAACCCGGAAATACCCAAGGGTGTGGCCATCCTCAGTTGGAAGGGATAGATGAGGCAGGCGAAAGTGCTGTGAGAGGGACACTGGCGATTTAAGCACAGGTCCTTCTTTCCTCTATAGAGTCAACTCCACACCAATATTCTTAACTATTTACAGTTTATTGAATTATAATATACATATTATTTCTTATTTAAAATATATATATATATCTCATATGTAAATATTGTAATAAGTAACAAAAGAAAACTTTCCAAAAATATTCTTAGAAATATCTTTTAACATCACCAAAGGTATACAGATAAATATTTACAATATTGTAAGTCTTATCATATTGTAAATTTACAATATTTACAATATTGGAACATTTCTACCAATCAGGTAACAGCTGGGGGGGGGCTTGCCCTGCCCCTACTAGAGGTATAATGGGTTTTTGGCTTATCATTAAGGCTGCTCAGGTTAGCCCCGGCACAAGCCAGATAACTGGAGTCCCGCAGTGTGGCCCGGCCAAAGAACTAAAAGAGCCCTGGAGCCTAGAGCAGGGCATGGGAAAGGGGAGGCCTAGGCATAAGGCTAGGTAAACTCAGCCAGCAGCTACTAGATTCCCCCCTGACAAGAGCTGGAAGAACCCTTGGTGCCCAAAGTGGGGCATGGGGCCAGGAGGGAAGGTCTTGGAGTGATGCAGACAATGCTGGTGGGGCCTCTGATTGAGTGCAGGGCTCTGAGGCCCAGTTGGCAGCTCCTTGAAGAAAATTCTAAGTTGCTGGCGGAGTTGGGTCCCGCAGGGGGAGGCATTCCTGAAATAAGGCAACCCCTGCCTTCCCAGAGGGAAGCCCCGGGTAGAAGTTTCCCTCTCAGCTAGACCCATAGAAGAGGAAGCATCCCTTGCTAGCTGGGACCCAGGGGTAAATGCGCTTTATATCATGTAAAACTGCGCCTTATATTTTGTATAATTGTAATCATAATTATGAATATGTTGTATAAAATGTTATGGAATTGAATTAGTTTGGTATACTGGGGGGTGGGGGGCCTGAGGAGACCCTGGACCTGATTGAAGACTGCACTTTGCAGGTCAGGCAGACTTCAGATTTGGGGTCTCCAGTGTAGATAATATTAATGGGCGAAGGTTTGCAAC